TGGTTATAATAAATCTAAACTTTGGAGTAGATCGAGTGGGAACAAGAGAAGTTATGGTAGTCGATTTAACTAGAGCAGCAAAGATGTGGAAAGACGACTTGTAGATATATATAATTTCGCTCGACTTTCTGTAGCAACCGTTGGTCACCAAAACTAGACATTTACCTATAAAAAATCACGAAAAATAATGACGCAGAATATATAGAGCTTACCGAGCCCTACAATATAGGGTATATACTTCAGAACATGGATTGCATGGGAAATATTTTCTACTATGCTTGACCGAGGCTGTGATCGCACTTGAAATACAAATTGGCTAGTGGAAACGTGTATTTCTGTAATACAAAAACCGGGGAAACGGAAGATCCATTAATGCGCGCAAAATGCATGATATGAATAATATGAATGCGAATATGAATAATGCGCTTATTCGCGCGAATACGATATTCATTTATTCATATTCGCGGGGTGCGAATATGAATATGCCCTATATTCGCATTCATTTATTCCTTTCGGAGCCCTAGCTGGGTGTTTGGCTTGGGATTTGGAAAAGGGGATTGGACTTTGCATAAAACTAAATTAGTATGGGATAGGTGACCCATGATACCTTTTCTGCGGCATCGCTGCGAGAATTCTGGTTGACACTTTGTATACACAGCCGAATCCCTGATGTTTATACTTTCGCCGAGGACGCGGTGGAGTTCGGTAGATGGTGTACTGTAAGGACTGAAATTATTGGCTAACCTACAAGCTGTTCTCCACCCCAAACCCTAGGTCCGTGCCTTTCTCTTGACAGGGGAAAGAAACGGGCAATAAATGATGGATTTATTGTGAGAGAGACCCCTCGAGGACTATCTAACTACTCTCAGGAATCATCCAGAGTCACATGACAAACCAAATAGTTGGTGTAAGTTATCATAAGTACATATTTGACCTCCTGTATTCTGACCTTAGTTCCGGCGGAATGACCAATATACGAAGGAGCGTGTGACTCTAAATGCCGAAGCTCACTTTCAGAACAGGATAAGCTGGAAATGCTTTCAATTGTAATTATTCCGTTTCTTTCACCTATAATTCCATTTTTCAGCAAGTTAGTACTTCATAAAAAGAGAGGTCCTAAAGGGTTCTGGCTAACGCTAAGACGAACACAGGAGATAATCCGTCGGCACAAATACAGGCTCATGTCGTTTTTATATCTCGAGGATTTCGGAATATAATCTACGATTGAAAATGGGACCATGTACGCCGGCCATGAGTGTGAGCGCCAGACAACGTGCCTGTATTTAGTGGCGCCGTCGCTTCTCACTGTGCGATACCTTCAGAATAGCGCGCTAGCGTCCCACCTGGCTCCTATCGACTTCCCCCATACGTGTGGGAACATCCACTGCCTCTTATGATGCACAGCAACGGGATTTCTGCTATACTCTTAGGACTTCCGCTCTGGCCAACGTATTTGGAGCAGGGTATGAGGCAGCGGCTGATGGATTGTTCTCTCGCCTACCTAACACGTCCGGAATCAGGACCGCTTAGTCGGGCCTCATATTAACTAACGCATATGCCCCTTCACGTACGCTCTATTGAGATGCTTTATAGAAGACCACTTGGCAGTATACCCTACTAAAGAAAGGAAGTTCTAGCTGGCTCAATATAATATTGTTCTCTTTTGAGTACCGTGACCTAATAAGCATTTGTAGTACACCAGTCTACGTCAAACGAACGCCACAGGCAAAGTGACACCGAATTGCCAGAAAATCGAGACATTAGCGAGCCGTTCCGGGGCAGTTGCTGGTTCACTTAAGCCGCAAACCGCTTCAGTTCCTGCATCCAGCACGGAATCTTGCAGATCTTTCCGTGTGGCAACTACAGACCGGTAAATTGTACTCTCGATGGGTATCAGGAGGGAGCTTTGGTACAGTGAGTTGTACACATAGATAATTGGAATATGCCTGTCACCCCTGGTCTGCCAGGGGCTCGGGCGAATCGAGCCCTTGCACGCGCTGGGAAGGCTGACCAGCAGGTCAGCAAAAATTGGCCTTATCACTTCATGAGACGCCTAGGTGTCAAAGGCATGTTTAAACACTAGAATGCAAGAATTGTATTAGAACGCGTTGGCGTGAATGCTATCACTAGACCTCGCCATATTGCTTTTTTGGGTACCCTGCGGGTACCCGCGAACCCGCCAAGAACCCATGAGCCCGTATATTACGGAATAACAGTTGTAATACAGACCGTAACTCATATAGCCGTGTCACAGGACCGCCCCCCACCCTCGCGGGTAGGGGGTGTCCCTCAGCCATAATGCAATTCTCAGCCATAATGCAAATTTTCAATTTTTTCAACTTCTAGCTTATTTTCTAGACGTATAAGGTCCAGGATCCATGAAATAAAGCCCGTCAATAGCCTCATTAGCCAATAATGTATCATCCTCCTCATTTTCAAGGGTTTCCTCCAATTCCTTAGCCGCCAAATCGGCCGCCATTTTCACTGCGTCTTTCCGCCAAGCACGAAGCTTCGATTCATCTTCTTTCTCACACCTCCGCTGTACTAGCTTATTACCTGAAATTGATGAAAGGGGACTTTTCGTAGCTCCCTTTACCCATCGCTTACTTTTTGGTTTTTTTCCAGGCGTTTTGTGGCTAAGGGCGCGCGTAAGGCTCATCTCCGCAAGTTCCGCATTGTATAGAGACGATTTTCCGGCATCAATTGCGCGCCGTATATGCTTCCGAATTTTCCGTAAATCAGGACTCGTGTCATCAAGTAGTGGAAAAACCGCCTTCTCTAATTTCGCAATACGCGAATAAGAATTAGGCGGGGAATTTGTTGCTAAACTTGGAAACTCGCGGGCGGGTGACGGTGACGGCTCGTCATACATGCGTAGGGTTTCTTCATCCGAATACTGCCCCAAATTATCCAAAACTTGTTTAGGATCTAGTGGCTAGATACCAGTAGATTTAAACGAGGTTTGGATAGTTTTGCACCTTAGGGCGCGGTGTCGGACGGCATCAATTTCGCGGAAAAAGTCGCGTTTTTCATTGCTTCTACCCTACGCCATAACTTCAGTATTCGCCATTTTAAAATGATGCTTTAAGCTTAAAAAAGCCTCAGCATCAAGCGGCTGATATAGATGAGTCGTGTGAGGTACGAAATACCAAGGAATAATCAAGTTTTCCTTACAAAAATCGAGAAATTCGATAGTTGTATGAGATGCATGATTATCCATTAGCAAAAGCCTCGGTCGCCCGCGTCGTACGCGGTTTTTTGTAGCTTCATGAAACGAGCAGAGCCATCGGTAGGCAGTCTCACTATCTGTCCAGCCACTAGACGTTAAATGGATGATTTTGTACGCCGAAGAAGAGGTTGACATATTGCTATACTAGTCTTCTATGTGGACGCTGCCTTTGACTAGAAACCATGGAAACATCACCCAGCCATCAGCGGCAATACATTCAATGCCAGTAATAGTTTCACCTCGATCTCTAGTAGCAATGCTAGCAGTTTGACGCGTAGAGACGACATGTTGGTTAAGTCCTTCGCCGTTTTGGAAGCCGGTTTCATCCCAATTATAGATCTCATGAGGTTCAAAACCATGCTCACAGTAGAGATACTCAAGCCTATCATACAATGGCTAATAACTCCAGGATCCTCAGCTTGAATTCGTAAAGATTCCTTTGGTTTTTGGGTAATAAGCTTGATATATGGAGGTAGACGCCGTATAAGCCGATAGCTATACATTGGGCCGACAACTCTCTCCGACCCTGCCATTTTCAATAGGCGATTTGCGGCAATTTCAATGTCTTTTGCCTTTGGAGGTGTATAGCAAGAATTTAGCAATTCGGTCCAGCTAATTAATGCATTTTCCTGATTCGAATTCAATGCATTGTTGGTGGTAGGGCGATCGGAGAGAGATGTCTGTCCGTTTTTGCGACCGCGAAGCTTCGAATAAGACACGCGATAATGGTCCGCAGCCTTACGTAGGGATGAAAATTCTCGCGTAGTATAAGCATGTAGTGCCTTAGCTAGCAGATCCTCTTCATCACGAGGTTCTTTAGGCATTTTTGGTGGGTAGGAATACGCGTAAAGTTGAAAAAGTAGAGAATTTGCATTATGGCTGAGAATTGCATTATGGCTGAGGGACACCCCCTACCCGAGAGGGTGGGGGGTCGTCCCGTGACACGGCTAATGATATGTAATATGGTATATATTACCTGTATTCAAATTTCTTGGCGGGTTTTGGGTCAAGGGTCGAAACCCAACCCGCGATTTTGGCGAGGTCTAGCTATCACGTTGGAGACGCGCGAGGTTCATGACCTAGTTAAGTAGGCGGTATGAACAGCGGTCGACGCCCGAAGTACCACTGTAGATTAATTGGTGATTATCCTGTCCTCGCAGTAAGTTGGCGCTCCACTTCCCTGACAAGTCAACACCTGGCTAATCACTAGCAGCTCCCGCCTTCCCCGCCTGGTACTTTTTTTACCTTTTTCTTTGTTAGTACCTAGTATAAGCGTGAGTTGGTCACACTCCGCCCCAACGTCCCACTTTCCCCGGCCTCCATTTTTCGCCCAACCGTTTTCTCAAATTGCTCCGACGTCGACAGCTTTCACCCAAGTCTTTGGGAAATCATCACGACCACGACTGAAGATATGGAGCCAATCGCAGTGGTAAATAGTGTTTCACGTTCTGATGCGGTCATTCTCATGTCTCGACTAGGACCCGGACTTCTACTCTATAGCTATTGGCTTTGGCACAGACCCGCAGGACTTTCAGTCGTGAGTGCAACTACAGCATACCTACTGTCGTATTCTCACTCTAGTACGTGTTCAGAGAGACCACCTCTATTGCGTCCTCGATCGCGAGGGGACGGTTAGAAAACGGCCGAAGGTCAGTCTAATCCAGCCCAAGTTCGTTTCCTGATTCTAACCTGAGAAGTAGATACCAGGCCATAAAAGAAGATGATTATTGGTTAGTTACGAAGCATTGGTTTGTGTATATATGAAGTAACCATGTCCAGGGGACCTTCTGACGAGCAGCAATTTGAGGCGTTTGAGATTGGGTAAATCGCATCTCATCCTCATATCTTTCATGTCTCACTAATAGAAGGTCTGTGATTATAACGAACTCAGCCATATGGTGTTTCTTGTTCTAGATTTCAACCAGCCGAATCCTCTTTTCTGCGCCCCTATCGGCGATTCACCCAAGGTGAACTTCCCAAGGCGACACTCACTTGAACTCCCGTTAACATCACAATGTAGCATATTCTGGACATCGGAACTGGTCAAGGGAGTTGGGCAATGTAATCCGATGAGCAACACGTTTCAAGAAAACCATTAACGAGTCCTTAGTGATGTTGCCGATCGCTATCCGTCGGGTATTAGATTTCGCGAGACGACTCCTTCTGTTCTGGGCTGACACCGGCTAGCTACCGTCCGCGGCGTGGATATTTTTCCCCCGCCAGTGTCATGGATGCCTCCAAACTGCGTGTTCGAAGTGGATGATGTGCTCCGCGAGTGGACATGGAGAGACTCGTTTGACTTTATCCATATGCGCCTAATGTATGGCGCCTTTCCTCCTGAGGGATGGGACCAGTTATACAAACAGGCTTACGAGTGAGTTTCAATCCTTATTTCTCGATCTTTTGTGTCACCAACGCTCATATCTGTTTACTCTCGCTATAGCGCCCTCGAACCCGGTGGCTGGATCGAGCAAATAGAATTTGACGTGCGAGTCTCTAGCGATGACGGTACCCTGAAAAAAGAACACCAGCTATGGGCGTGGGGGCCTATGTTTCTTAGATGCGCCGAGCGAGTGGACCAGGCCTCCGAAGCGTTGTGGCACGCTCGGATGGGACATCTGAACCGGGGCGACTTGAGGGTGGTCCTCCGGCAGACCGGCACTCCGTACCGACCGCTGACACAGGCGCAGCTGCTGGCAACGCCGCAGTGCCCGGCGTGCATGTCGGGTAAGCAGCATCAGAAGAGGAACTCCCGCGCAAGACGGCCACGTCTGCATTCAACGAGAATATTTGAATTGATCCATTCGGACATCATGGAGATGCCGATTGCCAAAGATGGCTCCAGGTACGTGATCACCTTTACTGACGATTATTCTCGTGGCTCGTGGGCCTATGCCATGAGATGGAAGCATGAAGCGCTCCAGAAGTTCCAACATTTTGAGGCCTGGGTGCACCGACAGTTCGGCGCCCAGATCAGAAGATTCCTCACCGATAACGGGAGAGAATATCTGCCAATTGGAACACATCTCGAATCCCAGGGAGTTGAGTTCGACACATCGCCGCCATACTGCAAAGGGCAGAATGGGCTGGCCGAACGCACCAATCGTACTATCCGGGAGCGGATCAACACGCTCCTGTCCGATGCGAACCTTTCTCCTTCCTGGTGGGTCGAGCTCTTGGACACGGTGGTCTATCTGAAGCTACGCGCGCCAGCATCGATCTTACAGAAGAAGACACCGTTTGAAATTCTATATGGGAAGCCGCCCTCGCTCTTGCATCTGCGACGGATCGGCTCCCGTGCATGGGTCTTAATCCCAAAGGAACATCAAGCAAAACTCGGACCGAGATCATCCGAGTGTCGATTGCTAGGCTATTGTGAACCGAACCAGTACAAGCTCTATGAGATACATTCTGGAAAGACAGTCTTTTCCCGTGATGTCGAGTTCGATGAGAGGACCCCGGTGGCGCCACTCATCGAGGGGGAAACAGGCAACGGCCTCCCGGACAACGCTCCTCCATCACCTGTCTTTCCATCAATGCCACGTTTAGCCAGAGGGCTGCTAACACCACCGGCATCGCCAGTACCTCTGGCGAGTGAGCGAGAGAAAACGACACCTGGGCGTGAAGAGGAGACACTTCCAGTGGTCAATCCAAGCCAACAAGGAAACGACTTGACATCGGATCTTGGGTATTCGATCTATGGTCGCAGACGAAGACCGTCGCGGCGACTCCTGGAGTCACTAGGCAAGGTGTACTCGGCAGGCACATTGAATACCGCACCGGCCAGACAAGTCGACCCGGCGACCTTCCACGAGGCCGTGTCAGGCCCAACCCAGCTGGAATGGTGGGCCGCCATCCAGAAAGAATATGTCCAGAAAGAATATGCGTCGCTTCTCGAACACGGAACATGGGAAAAGGTTCGGCGAGAGGACATCCCAGCCGGAGATCATGTGATTGGCTGTAAATGGGTCGTCAAGACCAAAGCCAACGGAACGCGCAAGGCGCGATTGGTCATCAGAGGTTACCGGCAGAAACATGGCATCGACTATCACGAAACGTTTGCTGCTGTGTCGCGAATGGACTCCGTCCGCTGCATTGTAGCCAGCGCCGTGTTGCGCGGATGGAAACTCCACCAATTCGATGCGGTCACCACATTTCTCCATGGAGACGTCGATTCGTCTATTTATATGGAGTTGCCCCAAGGCTTTGAAGAGCCAGGGTACGTGTGTCGGCTGCGCCGCTCACTGTATGGGCTGAAGCAGGCTCCGCGGATTTGGTACCAATGCGTCCACCGCGTCCTGGCTTCTCATGGCTTCACCATGGCCCAATCGGACAACTGTGTGTTCTACAAATCGAATTGCGTCGTTTGTGTCCATGTCGATGATTTCCTTGTTGCTGCGGCAAACACGCACGAAATCGAAAAAGTGCAACAAGCATTGCAAACAGAGTTCCGACTGAACGATCTGGACACCCCGCGTTCGTTCCTCGGGATCCAGTTCGACTATCACGTCGATGGGTCCGTGTCCATTCACCAACACCAGTACATCCAGAAGGTGCTCTCCGACTTTGGCATGGAGAGTTGTCAACCGAAGTCTACGCCGATGAATCCCAAGCACATCCTGAATCATCGTCCAGACGAGGAACCTCCGGACGAGGAAGCAAAAGCTCGTTATGCGACTGCCATTGGTTCGTTGATGTATCTGATGGTTGGCACGCGACCGGATATTGCGTTTGCGCTGGGCAAGTTGAGTCGTTTCACGGCTCAGCCGCAATCGCACCACCAAGTCGCTCTGCAGCGATTGCTTCGCTACATCAAAGCCACGCAATCTCATCGCATTACCTACCGCAGTGGGCAGCTGATCGGGTATACAGACGCCGACTTTGGTGGCTCCGTCGTCACTGACGGTGCATACTCGACGTCTGGCTATGTATTCCAACTTGCAGGTGCGCCAGTTTCCTGGTCGTCCAAAAGGCAGGGGGAAGTGGCCACGTCTACGACACACGCCGAATACATCGGACAGTACAATGCTATTCTGCATCTGCAGTGGCTCCGCACCTTTCTAGCTGAAACGCAATTATATCGGTCTCCGGTCACTAATATCATGGCTGACAACCAATCTGCCATTGCACTTTCTCGCAATCCTGAGTTCCACAAGCGGACGAAGCATTTCAAAGTGAAATTTCACTATCAGCGAGCCGTGCTGGATGCAGGCGAGATTGGGCTTCAATATGTTCCAACTGAGGAACAGGCCGCAGATGGTCTCACCAAGCCATTGGGGCCTACGTCCTTTGTCAAGTTTTGTAGTCTCTTAGGAATCGACGCCTCAGAGACTCCAAGGCAATATGCATGAGACAGCACAGGCGCTCTTTCCACTTTGTTTTCCCAGAAAGGGGTTTTTTTGAGTGGTTTTACCGAGGCCTGACTGCTCTGCGCAATTCCAGTATCGCCCTGCCAGCAAAGCGATTCTGAGGGGGAATGTTGTGATATGAGGCTGGTGCAGATCAGGAAGCAAGCCGAAGCATCGAAATTAGTCCCGAGATATGTATACGAAGAAGCAAGTTGATTGGAAATCAACTTGTTCTTCTCGTTGTATATATAGTCTCAAGTTTCCCACCGAATAATAGAGAATCAATCTTCCTTTGAATTACAACAGTAATGGCCAAGATGGCATTGTCCTTTCCCGAATTTTTCAGGGTTCAACAGGTGCCACTATATTTGAGGATTTCATTGAGCAGCTCCTCCATCATTGTGGGAAATGGCCGGCACAAAAGTCTGTTCTTAAATCGAAAGGAGATAGCTAGCCTAGATTTCTGCAGGAGGAAAAAGGAAGCTGGTCAGGCAAAGGGACGGTTACAAGATAACTAAGAGTAAGAATCGTTTTGTTGTTGAGAAGTAAGGGAATCGAGTGTGAGACGAATGGTACACTCATTTGCCATGTAACTATCTCGGATTGCGCAGTAACTGAATCTTGAAGAGATTCAGAATTGACCCTTCGAACCCAGGGTCTTTTTTATGGACAACGCATCTTTCCATCATTCAGAAAGAGATGAATCCCTCATGAACCATCAATTCAACAACCAAATTCTATAAGCCTAGTAGCTCGAGCTAATGTGAGGGCTGGGTATGTCGGCGGTTTCTCAAATGAAGCAGGAACCTGATGCCTGAATGCCGAAATACAAAGGAAATCCAAAATAAAAACGAATGAAATTATACACAACATGGAAGAGTATAGAAAAAGTCAAAAAGTGTGCAAATCCAATCAAACCCTCACGCGTTGCATCCCCGATGAACTATTCAGCGTCGTTGATATGGGAAGACTCTTTTGTTTCTAGCTTGACATGGCGATACCACCAAGGCAGTTTGCCTTACAGGCCAGGAGATCACAGAGCGTAACAAAAGAAGGCCAAGGCACCCAGAATGAGTGCAGTTTTGGAGCTCGCAATTGTGCTAGCAGCACCAGTGTGAGAAGGGCTTGACGCTACAGCGGTGGAAGTTGACCCTGGTCCCCCTGTACTGGAACTGGCGGTGTTACTCGGTAACGCCCCATTGTCAGTGGTATCAACACCCAAGTTTGAGCCGCAGATGTTGCCAACATTTTGTGCCAACTTTGAATAGTCCAGGTTGCTAATGTCCAGGTTACACCCAGAGATACACGTTCCAAACCGTGTCATATCGACATCAGAGAAAATATTGACGTAATTCTTGCAGAAACAGGCGTTTGATGCGGAGCTGCTCGGGTCTCCACAGTCAGCCTTGCTGTCTTTGAACTCGGTAGAAGCACAAGCGCCTCCGCAGTCGCCATAGATCTCACCCAAGATGTCATTGAAGTCATTAGGGGAGGCTAGCGTGGAGACGAGGAGGACAGAGAGGGGTATGAGGAAACGCATGTTGAAGAGAATGTGGATTAACAAAGGTCTTGGAAAGTCGCTGCAAGGAGGGTATGGGTGGCAGAGTGGAGGAGAGATTGAAATGAGAAAAAAAGTGGGGGGAAGACAGAGGAAGAAAGAGGGTTATGTAGGAAGGGAGTGTACCCATCCATCACTTGGATACAGGATCAATCTAGCCTCAAGTGCCATTTTCCAGGCCTTATCACTCTTCAACCAAGCTGACAATTGGTTGTCGATACGAGAATAAAATTAAGAACCCCACCATGATGATCCTTGACCTCTGGGGAAGAGAGTGAAGAAAAGTTGAAAGCTTATTCGACTGTTGGTTTGATGAATACGAGCATCCCCATTATTCCGGGAAGAATACGATGAGGGTACAGAAAACTGGAAGCCCCTCAAGCCACAGTTATCATTGTGACGAATATCCTGGAATGAGCACTATCCAAACGCCCGGGCAAGCGGCCTTCTGACTCATTTTCTAGCATACCACCCTGTCAAAGGACCTCAAGATGTTCATGTCAGCGCCACCACTGCCGCTCAAGTTTTTCGTATTATCACGCATCCTGCAGGAACATGTTCCGACCCAAATACGGACGCAGACTGGATCATCACTGACTTGGATCTGCGCTAAGGAAGTAACTTAGATCGTAGACTTCAAACAGCTGTTGATATTGTTAAGATATAAGGTCGTAAAAAGCTGAGTTTAAATTGAAGTAGCTGGCTAGGGCTTGTGGCCGACTTGGTAGTGAATCACGTTCCCTGACTTTGGTGTGGTTGTGCAAATTGCATTTGGCCACCAACCGGGAATTAAAACCAGACACCACGAGAACGTACGAATCCATTGTTTGAACAGCTGGGCGAGAGCTGTTGCCTAGCGTCAGATTACAAGGGGCCGAAGTCGTACAAAATGAATTGAAATTCTTTAACCCCTGTTATCACAAAGTCTCTTCCACGAACTCTATTATGACACGTATCATTCTATTTTTGGTTTTAGCACCTTTCAGTGGGTGAACTGGTGCAATACGGTGGGGCAAGACACGCAGCGCCGAAGTAACTGGATGGGTTTCACAAAGCACATAGGTGTTTGAGGCTCTGGGAGTGAAGCAAATTGACTTTTGTCCTCGGCCGTTCCGTCCAATGCCTGCTGGTCCCACCACCAAGCATGCGTAACTCGGGCAGCGAGATTGTTCGATTCGTTGGGCCACGGCTGATCTTTCCACGAGGTTCCAGCCCTACAAAGGCTTCGAGAAAGCTTGTCAATTCTGCACGAAGAAAAAGAAAGGTCCGCTGCAGGCGTTTCACCTGCACTCTCGCAGAGAGGACTCTGACAAGGCCGACAAGCTCAAGCAGAGCCCGCCCCTAAGTACGTTATCACCAGCCCCAAGTTTCTCCGTATCTGTGATCTAGAGAAACTGGAATGGAGGAGATATCTAGGATGAGCAGGAATACAACCGTGTGACAAAATCGAATGCCCCGAACCTCTGCTGACAACCACTTTCTTCCTCAAACAGCTCTCAAAGCTGACGACATCTCCAAGCGTGGCAAGAAGAAGGCTCTGCAAGGCCACACAACCGGAGCACTGCAGGTTTTTAATATCTTTTGGCATCCCTTATACGCTAGAAGATGAGAACGCCTAAAGATCGTGCTTATCTCCCGAGTGAGATCATTCTCCCTCGCGGCGGAGAATCTCAACCCTCGTGACCAACTATCACTCTTACGTGCCGTTCCTGACCTCGTCCGACTCGTGACATTCCGACACACTTCTATTCAGGATGAAGAAGGGAATTCAATCTTACACCTTCTCTCAATAGAAGCTGAGGGCAGACTAAAAGAGCTGCTACTGGCGAAGAATAGTACTCAAGCGGACCCGAAGAACAAGAATGGTCGAACGCCACTGTCTTACGCAGCTATGTGTGGACATGAAGAATTGGTGAGGCTGCTCCTGGAGCGGGATGATGTGGAGGCAGACTCGGTGGACTACCATGGTCGGACACCACTGTCATTCGCAGCTGAGCGTGGAATTGAAGCGGTGGTGAGGCCGCTTCTGGGGCGAGATGATGTGGAGGCGGACTCGAAGAATAAGTACAGTCAGACACCGCTGTCGTACACAGCCGTGGGTGGACACGAAGAAGCGGTGAAGCTGCTGGTTGAGCGAGATGATGTAGAGGAGGACTTGATGGCCAAGGATGGTGGGACACAACAGTATTATGTTGGTTTTTATGAATATGAAGCGGTGGAGGGGCTTCCGTTATAAATCCCAGCAGAAATCCAAGCACATATGCGAGACGATGATCAGGCTCAAGAATACTGGTGTCATAACAAGCCAATTCTAGGAGGCTATCAGACGCGACATCGATATCCTAGTTGGTTCTGTATTCAGCCCATTCAGTTAGTTCCCTCTACTAGCATGTAAGAGAATTGTGCGACCCGGATACTTTGTCTTTGAAGGCAATAAGCTTCCCCAGTGCTTCCCGAAGCGTTTGGAGAACCAGCGTCAGCAATCAGCATGAGACGTAATGAACGACACCCCCGCTTTTACCTAAAGGTCAATTTCAATTTTGAGCAAATGCAGGCCCATGTTCAGGAAAGCGAATTTATCATATTGAAACGGCTCTGGATGACTCGGATTGAGTTACTGTATAGCCGGGAAAAATCTTGAATGACGAGCAGATGAGAAGACCACAACATTATTTTACCCAAATGTTTAGCAGTACCAACGCTATTTTGAATGAATTGGATTGCGATCTGACAGCCAAGCGCTGTTTCAAATCTTCCGGGATACACTTCGCCACAGCCAGGATTGCACTTATCACCGACTTGTACTTTGGGAACCGCTGTGCAACTTTTCCGAGAACCTGGTCTTGGGTAACATGCGTTGATTGATCAATCTGTTCAGTGAGAAGGTGCAATAGTTGAATGCACTCTGTGAGAGAGGACCTTATTGCTCTTCGACCCAGTGCCATAGTTCCATGATCTGTAGCTTGAACTTGGGCTGCAATTGAGCGAATCCCTTCCCTGGCCAGTTTGCGAAGTAGGCGACGTGCTGGTTTCCTGCAAAAGCGTAGAGCATTTCGAGGATTGAGTTTCCGTTTTGGCTGCCACTGCATTCTGACATGTTGGTAGCCGAACGAACGAAGGGCTTGTCGTGGAACTCGGAGGGATGGGATTTTTATCGCAGTGCAAGGCTGCTTTGTAAACTCTCCCTTGTCAGAAGCTTCACGCCGCCTGAGGCTCATCAGGACCAGGTATTCTCAAGTGAGGAAGGGTTACAGTATAAAAATCTAGAGTTGACAGATCAAATGTTCCTTGCTGCCTTTTCTAGCAACCTAAGATGGACGACGGACTATTATAATGTGGCAAGATTTACCGACGTACCATACGAAATGGCGAGAACAAGTGCATGCCACTTCAAGAGAATCTTGTTGACTAAAAGCGACTGAAGCGGCCCATGGTTATTGCTGAGCTTGAATGTTGGGTCAGTAGAGCTAACATGCCTTCCCATCATTTTTGTGGTAAATAAACAACATACGTTGATCAATTTCTTTTAGTTTTAATGTGTGGCCTTGTATCAGGGCTGAGTGGTAAAGCGCAAATAAGGACACTCGGAGAAGGCATACCAGCTTAGTAAATATTCAGCATCCGTGGCGGTTTTTGAGACCATAGTCTGGCAAAACAGAACGAAATGATACGAAGGAGAGTATGAAAGCAAATGCAATGAGATATCGTTTAATCAGACTGAACCGCTGGGTAAAACCGTCTTCAAAGCCTGCCACATGAATGTTCAAACTGGAGCATACATTTTCCCGATCGACTGGCTTCCCGTATCTGTCCTGACTGAAACAGCCGTGACTTAAATGCCTGCTACAAGTATTGAAAGTGTGACTCTTTGACAGCATCTTGGTTATTCCCGAATTCCTGGAGGAACTGACAGGAGAATAGCCTCTTGGGGTGCATCGACACATCTCGTAAATCAACCGAGTTTCGCGGTATTGTTCGCCCAATTGCGATATTAGGCCTGTACTTGTGTTCCTCACGGGGGCATCACCTACAACGCAGAGCAGCCCCCATCTCTCCAAAGACCAAAGGCGGATTCTGCCTTTTCATGCCCATCACATATGGATGACCAGGCGCCCCAAGTCCCGGTTATACGACACTCAGCATTTGAAGTATCGTGGCCAATGGTGGATCTGGAGTTTAGCCGACAAAGTGAGGATGGAAATTTATTGACTGACACCAACACGTTTCCTGCGACACAAAACTGCAACCACGAATCCTACGATGATATCCCAGTATCCTGGAAATTTTTCTCAAGACATGAAGATACGGGGGCAGCCACTATGCAACTCCTACGGGACAGCTGGAAAATATTCAAAAATATGAGTCTCCAGGATTGGGCTGATGACGCGTTGGATATGCCATCGACCAGGGTCAGGGTTTTCAGGCTATATTACAGCAGACTAGCATTTTCACTGTTTTCTTTCCTCCGCCAAGTTCCTAAGGAGATCGCCAAGTACGATTCTATGGCATCGGTACGGACTCTCTCTCTGTCTCCGGCCCATCCAGACTAAATACAATAGGCTGTTCGAACCCACGACCGTTTCCTTTACGCTACTCTCCGGCATAGTCTCACCTACGCTAAGTGTGGCAACCCGTACCGGGCCTTGACACTTGATACATCGCCTATCACGACACCAGTTAAGGATTTACTGTCAAACCCCGCGAAGGATATCATCTGTCAGTTCGCAGTACTCGAAACTCGCTACAAGCGTTATTGCCGAGGCTCTGACCTTGCGGATGGGCGCTATTTCCAAATTGCCACCCCGCTACTGACTCTTGTCACCGATCAGTGTCCAGTCAATGGCTCGAGAATAATCACTCGCGAAATACTACAATCCTTTCGCCAAATCAGTCTTGAAGGCGTCTGGAATGATGACTGTCATCTGAAAGCCATCGCACGTCGATGGAGCTGTCTCTGTCACGAGGCAGAGGAGATTGCATCT